AGAAAAGAAATCCATTTCGGTTTCGGGCTGTTTTTATCAACTCACTATCAAATGGCCGTTTGACACTGAAATTGTTAATGATGTGCCATTTGACTGTAAAATGCGAAGATTAATTGCATGGCGAACAAATCCCCATCTCAATAATGACACTGTGTGTATTCGATCGGGCCCGATCCGAACCAAGTTGCGCTGCAGCTCGAATGCTTTAAAAGTTTTGCCATTTCATCGAAAAACCTTAAATCTTAATTAAATCATTAGTTTGAAGATAATAAAGTACTTTTGCTATTGTTGATGTCTTTGATTGTAGCGCATTCGGTCGTTTGCTTGCTTGTGGCTTTGCATGCGAATGACTGCGCCGCTTTACAGTTTGTCTGAAGTGAAAAAAAAATGGAAGGAGCGGAACAAACTATTAGAGTTCAATTTCATTTGGCGTTTCACATTCCAAGCGCAAACTTCGAGCAAAGTGATTCGTTAGCAACGCATTTTGTCTTCTGCAGTGCAACATAATAAATATCGTAGCCGTAAATTGACGGCTATAAGGAGAATTGAGCAGTAACACCCTCTAATTTGGAGCGTAGCGTTGAAAACGAGGGTGTGTTATTTTTACCCTGTTGGCCTGAATATTTATGATACCATTAGAAAAATCGCAAGCGCATTTAAATAAATGAATTGTTGACAATCAAAAGTCATGCAGATTCCCGAAACAAGCGGGAGGAGAGGAAGGGCGAGGAAACGAATGAAAGAATGAATAGGAAAAAAAATTTCGATACATAAAATAATTTATAATGAAATTATCAGATAGTGAGTCATATCGAGCGAGAGACACCCTCGCATAATCAACTATCTCCGACTGCTGCTGCTGCGTGGTGCATTCAGTGAGCGTGGCTCGTACAACAACACATTCAATCATGTTCGGAGGGCAGAGTACACAATTTCTGCACATCATAAGTTCCGTATGCCATGCAATCGCTGTAGTTTATTTACAATTTTATCTCGGCCGTAATTTGGTGGCAGCGGTCGTTATTGCATAGATTGTGGTGTGTGCCAGTGTGCCTATCGACAGTGGCATGGTGCTTGCAAGTGTGTACATTTTTGTTATTGCTTGCACGATGGTCTTCGTTTATTCATCGCGTCATTTTTTGTTTCTGGGATGTACGTGTGTTTTTCAATGCACTTGAAATATGTCATCCATATCCTTTTTTCGTGAGCGGCCCACTGAAACAAGTAGTTATTGAAAATATTTTACTCTTCCTCTTTCCATCGCTCGCTCTCTATTTATTCATTCTCGACTGCATGATGCGACCATTTCAATTTTCTAATGTTCGGCATGAAGCGGAAATCACAAACTGCATGATTTTTGTGCCCGTTGTGTGAGTGAGTGTGTGGGGGAGTTCCGAAGATGTGCACAACGCACTCACTCACACATTTTCAATAGATTGAAACATTAGATACATTCCGTTGAAAATGCAATAAATCGAGATGAAACAAGGCTGAAGAAAGACAACGGCAGCGCACAACAATGCCAAAATCCATTCTCTCAATTTGAAATGCATGTGATTTGTCGAATGAACAGCGTACGCTAGTGAAAAGCATTCACTGTCATTGCATTTGGAATACGCTTGAAATGTGTACATATTCGCATTTCGCAATTGCTCCCCACAATTTTGCGTTGCTTTGTTTTGTTTTGCGTTCATTTTACTCTTTGTCTTGGTCTTCGGCAATATAACTTTATAAGCGTATAAAATGTGGAATAAATGCGATTGAGTATTGTTTCCGTTCATGATCAGTGACTGTAACGATGCGCCGATTGAAATGAATGAGCGTCAAAGTGAGCGAGAACGAGCGAGAGAATGAGTGAATGGCACAACCGAAAATAAATCGAGTATAATAGTTTTCTGTTTTTGAATTGAGGATGTTTTCGGTTATAAATCGTGATTGCAACCATTTATTATGGAATGAATGGGGCATCATTTCTCAGTGTCGAATCGAAAAAGAGTCGAAATTCGTTCGGTATATTTAATGACAAGTCAATAGATATCCAGTGGCCTGGAAAGTATTCTGCCTTCACTCGATTTACATCGATTTTTCTTCTTTTTCTCTCTCCCGTAAAGCACTCCCCTACCACAAGTGTTTCCATTCATTTTGCTATGGAGTGCAGGTAAAACGTTTTTGACAAATAGGTACACCAATCTTAAAACACCTTCTAACAAAATATTCACTCTTCTTCGGTGCACTCCTTTTCTTTCCATCTAAATAGGCCAATTACATGATCGAAATTCGAAAAATCTGGATAAATACTCGAGTTCTGTGCGAGAGTGTTTGTGTGGAAATTCAAAAAGAAGGCATTTGCCCGCGAAGAATCAAATCACAAGCCAAACCGACAGACATCGTGAAACGTGTTATCAAATACAATTCTCCCCTCAAAATTATAACACATACACACAAATTATCGCACAGCTGAATTTTTAATACTAATTCCAAATAATGCACGAAACACGATTCCTCAAATATGCCCGAATATCAAGCGGCACTCGGTGTATCAGTTGTGTGTGTGTTTTTTCTCCATTCATTCGCACATTCACTCTCTCTCTCTCTCTCTCTCTCTCTCTCTCTCTCTCTATCACTCAACTGTTGGCGAAACTACAAATTTTCAATCCATTGTAATCGCTTGAATTGAATGTTCATTAATATTTATAAATTTTCTACGAGTCCCAAAAATAATCCCGGTCGAATGTGTGTGCATTACAAGTGCGTCAGTCTTGTGTATAGCGCACAGCTCGGGTTACAATGTCGTTTCGGTTTTTTGTTGGCCCAACCATGCCGTTCCGCGTTTCAGCATTGTGTATTCATCGATATACGTGAGATATGCAAAAAAGAGAACAAGCGAGAGAGCGCAAGAGCGAGAGAGCAAGAGATACACTGAAAATGCGAAGACCGAAAATTTGCAAAACGTGTAAAAAGAACCGTCTTTGAAGCGACTGCATATTTTCACAATACAATTCTATTGTGTGTGCGTGTGTACGGCTGTCTCTGTCTCTCGCTCTCGGTTTTTTCCATTTCCCATTCTGACACTTTCATTTCATCCCATTCCCCCTGTCTTCCCGATGTCATTTCGTTTTCTAAAGCAATTATTTAGTCACTGATTTATTTATGGACATGGAATAGAATAAAACAAGTCGGATGTCGATCAATAATATTGATGAATATTTTATGAGCAATCCAGTTAACTCTCGGTTGTCTTTTTTGGTTTGCCGTGCGTTTTTCACGTTTTCTCTTCGCATCGGCTCTTCATTTTTCGCCGTTGAATTTCGGACTGAAAAATATCATTTCGACAAATTCATCGTTTCGTTGTTGCCTTTGTTTTTTCTTCTTTTGCGCTTCTATCTGCCGAATGTTAAAATAAATTGTTCGTTTCGGTGACACATTCAGGAGTCATGGATGGGGGAAACATAATTAAATATAGAAATAAAATAGGTTTCAGTAAAATGAACTTTTTAACGCTGCTGCCGTCGCCGCCACTGCCGATTCATCAAGTCAAATGAAAAGATATCGTTTGCCTTTAAAATGCTTCAGATTGAAAGAAGAAGAAAAAACAATCAAAAGTCAAATGATTTCCGTAGATCGAATCAAAATGAACGAAACACGAAAACAGCAATTAATTGCGACAAAGCGGAAAAGAGAAAAAGAAGAAACATACGCACATGGACACCAGTGTTCGATACACAAGTCACCTGCCAGCAATTGAATTTGTTTGATGTTGTTTTTGCATCAAACGTTTTTTTTTTCTTCAGTTTTCGGTACTACTCGGCTGGTCATTGCAATTTCAGCACACATAATTTCGTTTAGAAACCGGTTATTCAAATGTTGATTCGCGCAGCCAATGACCACAGCGCACAGTTCATCAATCGATTCACTTGCATTTCCTTCTTGTTCAATGTTTTTTTTCTTTCGCTTCTTCTGCGTGGCAAATGAATTCAAGCGAATTTCAATGTTGAAACCTGAAACACACTACCTTTTATGGTGTGTACGCATTTTGCACACACGAAAAAAAAAACAAACCGGCAAAAATGTTAATGAGACCGAATATAACGAACGTTCATTTAAATGCATCGAAATTCTTTGCGCGTGTTTTTTTGCTGTGTATTTACATTGAAGGCAGGATAAAGGTGCATAAATGACTCAAATTATTTGGATGGAAAATTATAGGTGTTTCTTGTTTTTTTTTTTGTATGCTGTGCGGCGGAAAAAAACGTCATTCATTCGGATGAAACATGAATGCGCACGGTGCTCACGTTCGGCAAGCGGTGAAATATGATGAACAAGTGATGTAAAATTATGCAGTGTTCAGAGTGCAATTAAGGCGGGAAACAACCGATGGCCAGATACAAAGAATGGCACATGTTCATCTCTAATTTCGATTCGTTACAATGAACTCGAACTACTAATTATGTTGTCGTACGTGCGTAGCAATGCACTGTTGTTGGTTTTTTTTTTCTCCTGTTTGCCGCACTCTACATATTGCACAATTCGGTGTAATGGTCAGTTACAGAAATCACCGCCGTTCGGTATCTCGCTCAAAACTGACATTTCAAAAGAAATATTATTTTCACAATGCTGGCTTATGATAACCGAAGGGAAGTGTCACAACAAAGCGAACCATTCAATTTCAACGCTCTCTTTTTGATGTGTTTCTTCTAGTGCATTTACTGGTTGGGTCGCATGAATGATGAATGAACGCACCACTTGAACGGCAAAGAATGAATTTTTTCTTCTTTAAATTTGAGTTGCATGAATTCGGTTCATCATCAAATTGGTTGTATATATTCGAAATACTTGAGTAGCCTTTGGAATATTTGCGCACTTGAGCGTATGAAACGCTGAATTTTCATCTAAAGAAAGCCCTGAACTACAAAATGTACTGATTCTAAGTAACCATTGACAATGTGAAAAGTGATGAGGAACATTTCATTTCATTTCAATCAATATAATTATTTGTCTGAAGCCACCGCTGCCGCACGTTTCAACCAAAATATAAGGGAAAAAAGATCACAGCAGAAAGTTTAACAAAAAAGCAAGTGCACATTGGGAGCAAACATTGAATCACTTCAATTCTGATTTAAAATCAAACGGCACGAAGACATTTGTTTAGTCTTCCATCAATACACTCATCCTTATTGGTTGCTGTGCATGTGCATTCGTGCTCATTTGCTTGTGTCTGGTCTTGCGAAGCAACAGCCGTTGGCAAAATCAAGTGTTCGACCTCTTGAACGGTTCGACTGTATTGAAATAACAAAATAATAAACAATTTTCAATAACAAATTCAATTGCAGCGAGCGAACGGGCGAGCGAGAAAAATCGGCAGCGGTCCAAAGTAATTTGGTGTCAATCGAATCAGTTGTGAGTTGGCATTTGATTGAATGTGATCGTTTGCATGATTTGTAACAAGTGCATTTCGTATTTCAGTTATTGAAGTGGGAAAGATGGGGCGTACAGCGAAGGGAGCCGCTTCACGGCGTGGAAGTGAATCATCGAGCGGAAGTGACAGCAGTTTGGATTTCTTGGGACGTCCACCAAGCCATGATCCGAGCGAAAGTGGAAGCAGTGGAAGCACCGATTTTCTAGGACGTCCAGTAAGCCGTGACCCGAGCGAGTCAGCAAACGGATCCAAATCAGATGGAAATCAATCGGTAAATATGCAATGATGCATTCTTTCGTTTTTCAAAGTCAAAAACGACCGGGAATCATTTAAATTAATTTTCGAATGGAATTTCTCAAATTTCAAAAATTATTGGTTCAGCGTCGCGACCGAAAACAGACACGTCCACGACGACGAAGTCGAGTTTATGATGAAATGGTACGACTGCAGGACACGACCAATTTGCTGATTCCTCGGCGGCCATTCCAAATGCTTGTTCGCGAAGTTCTACAGAAATTTATGCCCGACGGTCGTATGCAAAGCTCCAGCTTGGAAGCGATACAAGAAGCTACGGAAGAATTCATTATACAATTGTTGGAAGACGGATATTTACTGGCACTTCATCGAAGTCGAGTCACATTGCTTCCAAAGGTAGTCCACCAATTTGTATCCATAAAAAGCAATTAATTAATTTGTATTGTTTTATCCACTTTTTTTTTCAAAGGATATCGATACAGTTTTGCTCATTGATCGTGCTCGTTCAATGTTCCGACCGCGGTGAAATGATTTCAAAGTGATCCAAGAGAAAACCGAAAATAAACATGCATTCGAACGATTGAATTGAGATTATTGTATCGTATTTTAATCGTCATATTGTTTGATCATAGGAAACACAAAATAAATGCCAAAATGTTCATGCACATTTGATGTGAAATCGTTTAATTGAATTATGTTTATTATCCTATCCCCAAAGCGTATTTGATTAATATTTCGCAATGTGATGGTTGAGTCTTTGATGAATTTTCGTACACTCATTTATCGCTCACTTAAGATCCATTAATGTGCTAATTTATAATTCACAAGGCGCGTTTACTGTGTGAGACACGAGATAAAGCGTTATAGGTAAAGGAAAATCCGCATTATCCGTATGTGGCTGAGGAATGGTAAGTACTTTGTGAAATTAATCCACGAGCAATTTGTTTTGCTCGGCATCTTGATCTTTGGCACACAGTCTGTATTTGTGGCGTAGAATAGTAGCTTCAGCAGCAACAGCAACAGCGACAGCAGCGACAACATCGTTTTGCCTGCATGAAAGTGAGAAGAAACGTTATCATATCGCACACTCACACTAACACATACATATATGCTCATACACACATATCGACCAGCCAATAAAGTTCAAATTAGCTTGCGTTCTGGCACCAACCAACACACAATGCATTACAAAATCTCTCTCGTTCTCCCTCTCTCTGTAGTTCAACACACAGAGCAAGGAAGAAACAGCACAATCACAACATTTTCTCTTCGCTGGCACACGGTTCGGAACGATGCGATGCGGGAACAACGAATGAAAAGCCGCACACAAACAATGCAATACAAACGGAGCTCAACCAAATGCTTGATAACAACAATGTGCCCGAGAAAATTAATTTCGATCTCAACGCTACGATTAAAAAGATAAAACATTTTTCGACCCATTGTTTATGTGCGAATGTGACGAGCCTTCTTTCTCCCGCTAAACCATTTTGGCTCATTTCTTTTGTGTTGCGTGTGTCGTGTGTATTCTGGTGCGCTCTATATAATTTCTTTCTTCTTTTTTCCTGCATTCGTCTTGTGTTGTTGTTTGGTGTGTGCAGCGGTTGCACAATCTTGAAACCATATCTCGTTGCCAGAATGTGGCCACTCACTCGGCACATCGGTTCAGGGACAAAGTTCAACTAGAGAAAATGAACTATGGCAATTGCAGCATTGTCGCAACCGATGCGCGCACTATACACACTATGGATTACAATGCCGGCGTCTTTTTTTCTCTCTACTTCTTTGCCATTCATTTTGATTTTGGGTGACAATGTAACACAAACACAGCGCACTAAGTGCATTTTGAGGATGTGGCGCGCACCCGTGTGTGTGTGTGTGCGTTTCGCCACTTGTGTATGATTCAGTGTGCCACACGGTGAGAATATTGTCGTCTTTCGTTTAGATAGTGGTTACTTGTGTTCTATTCACTCGTTGCCAATCTAAAATTCGATCTGGATAGTGCTTGTGTGCGCTTGAAGAACGCATATTTTTAGCAAGCAACTTAGCATTTTATCTGCACCGTAAACATATTTCAACTGAAATTTGCCCCGGCTCTCGCTCTCTCTGCGTGTGTGTGTGTGTGTGTGTGTGTTTGCATCTTGGCTTCGCCACCGTATGTTTAATGCTTGAGACGAAAACTCATTTCTTTCAGCGAAACAAAAACGATAAAGCACGCGTGTTACATCCACTTTCTTAGCACAATATCGTATGTGTGTGAGTGTGTGGTGTCATTGCAAGTGGAATTCATGCCCCGCATACTTCACTTCTCTTTTTTCCCCGTTCATTCCATTTCTTTGCTCATTCGAATCTCCGTTTTATGCTAAAGTCCATATTTTGTCTTTTCATTCACAATTTCGTGCACTGCATCCACTTAGCATCGCTATTGCATGGCACAGCAAGTGCATTGTATTAGTTGGAATTGAAATTGGGAATTGTACAATGGAAATGCATTACATGTCGTTCCATTCACATTCGAAAATTACGTTCTCAAACCGATTGTTTTATCCATAATAGATAGATAAGTGAGTGAGTGAGTGAGGGCGAGAGACGGAGAGAGAAACACGAGGGGAAAAGAAAGAGATTGAAAAGGAATGAGTTCGCGTCCGTGAAATGTTTACAAGTGAAGCGATTCACTTTTCTGTTATTTATGTTATTTTGGACGAGCAATCTGTATAGTGCGGATGCTATTTATGTCAATCTCAATTGCATGTTCGTTTCTTTGGATCGTGTGTCGGGGCACAGCGGAAAAAAGAAGAAGGGCGAACTGTCTGAAAATTGTGCACACTGTATGTTTTTGTCATCATCATCAACAACAACAACGTATGCATGCATACGGCATACCTTGTGTGCCGCAAATCTTTTTGCAGACACAAACTGCTCTTCACATCACATCACATCTCTCATCTCGCATCGCAAGACGCCGAGCAAACCCAATGGTTTTAAGCAAGATTTTATGCCACTGCATGCAAACGGCGTGTGTGTTTGTGTGTATGAAATATAAACAAAGATTCATTGTTTGCAAAACATCATATTCGTAATCGAAATGCATTAATGCACATTGCTCTCGCTATCACTATTGCTCCCCATCTCTCGCTCTTTCTTGCTTCGATTCACTTTGGATTTTTGCACGACACTATGAATCAAACCATTTCGAAATGACATAAGACATCGTAACTACTATCATTACACATCGAAAATGCTTTCTCTATCGCTCTGTGCATGTGATTTCATTTTGATTCGTCACCTTACCACTTGCTGTAAACAATGCAAATGATAGCTAAGCATAGTAATCTAATGTCATTTTCTGTGTATACATTTGCGATGCGAAAATGATCCGGCTACATTTTTGCTCGTTGCCCGATTTGCGATCGGTGTTTGGTTGATGTTCTTTTTTTCCATCTCTTTCCCTTGTCGCTTTTTTGCTTGTGAGCCGTACACCAACAACACACACGCACACTCACTTGGAGCGACACAGAAAATATGATTTTAACATGTTTCACTTTTGGGTTTTTCTTTGTCGCCCGTTTTTATCCCGGGCTTCTACTGCTATCGCCGATGTATCTATTGATGACGACGCTGCCATCGTTTATACATATATAATGCATGACAGAAATGCGATGCTCAAATATTAAATTGCATATCTCATTCACTCTAAATGCTGCCGTTATCTCAGCAGCTCTTTTGCAATGTGCCTGTGCACAGCATTGTCTACGTGCAAAATCTTCGTGACATGTGTTCCTTTCTGCCTTTGTTCAGTGATTTTTGAACAACAACAAAATTTCGATTGTTCCCGATTCTTTCTGCTTGTGCTTTGAATAATATTTATTCTCTTCGTTTCGTTTCGTTTTGTTTTGTTTTTTTCCTCCTGCTCCAATGTGTTTTTTTTTTCTTCTGTGTTATTATAAATGACTGCGAGCGCGCATTACTTTTTATGATTGTTGTTGGAATCAATCCTTGATTATTTGTATATGTTGTGTGATGTGTACAAGTGCAGAAAAAAAAGTCACACACACAAAACTACATGTTGCTCTGCCCTCAACGCTGACTCACATTTACGCACACAAACACACAAGCATATCGTACAATGAATGACACATTAAATGAGAGACAGAGAGTGAGAGAGGAGAGAAACGACCAACAGACTGCCATCAAATCATATCCAACACGCTGAATTCACTCAGCCATTTGCAGAAAAAACAAACACACACAGCCGGGAAGAGAGAGAGAGAGAGAGAGAGAGAGAGAGAGAGAGAGAGAGAGAGTGAGCAAGCCAGAGCTGTTGAGAAAAAAGCCATTTGGATGTTTATAAATTCCTCGTTTTGATTCGTTCAGCACTTTTTATTCGGGCCAAACAGGCACATTTCATTGTTGCATAAATGAGAGACGATAGCAGAGAAAAAAAAACAGAAACGACAACAACAACAATGGCTAAATTCATATCTCCTGTTGTATATTGCTAAAAGAGAGGCGAACAAAACCGAAAAAAAGTGATGCATTATTTAAATAGCTTCTATTATTAATAAAATAGTGCAATGAACGGAACGCAACGGAAAATATTTTATGATTGTTTGAAACAAGTGAAGGATATATCCATTGCATGTAAAATACACTACAATTTTACAAATAGATCCATCCGAAACAGACGCCGAACACATACTGTGCATGTGAGAGCGAGCTCCGGTACCGTTTTCAATGGTGCGACGTTGGCCTTTCTCCTGTGCACACGCTGCACACAATTTTGCTAAGTAATTGGAACAGATATACCGGCTATATAATTGCGTCTGATTTCGCGTTTGTAATTACTCTGATTGCATTAAGTAAACATAGAAATCGTTTTATTGTTCTGGTTTTGTCCGAGAGAGAGAATATTTCATCTGCAGATATTAATAATAGAGATATTATTATGGCACACAATTGCACCGGAAACAATGTTGTCTTATAGCATTGGGCTCAATTTCACAATTCACCTCATCCCTCCCAAGAAAGAAAAGCATGGTTCTCTTTCCCATTTTTTTATATTTATTTTTCCTTATTTATTTGCAAATCTGTCGTTGACATTGGGTATTATCACCAAAAAAAGTGCATACCATATTCTTTTCATCATTGTTATCAGCGGCAAATTAAAAAAAAAACCCCAATGAAAAGAAGCGAGACACAGTGTGATTTTTTTGTCCCTCTGGAAATAAGCTATAGAACCAAGGTGAAATATGTGAAAGAATCGAGGAGAAAATATCTTGTAATCAATTTTTTCCGCCTAATTTAGTCGATTTTGGGACCGAAATCGGGCTCATTATCGTGGCTGTGGTTTTCGAATGCTATTTCTGCCATTTGATGGCTTTGCTTCTGTGTTTGTTCAACTGATTGACAATGATTTCTTTGAATCCATACGAATGAAATTTAAAAAAAAATATGTTCCTGCCTTTGTTCGCTTGATGCTATCAGATCATTTGCGAGTGAGTTTTATCTTTAAACCACTGAAATCACACTTGGCTGTTGGTTGAATCGAATCAGCGAATGAAATTGATGATGAAAAGTCGAGGAAAACCGCCAGAAAAAAAATGACTCATAAAATGAATCAATAAAACTAGTCATCCATTCAGATCAAAGT